AAAACGTCTGAATTTCTCACCATTTACTGCAGCGCGGTCATAATCGGGAAACGCCTCAGCCACGAGTCTGGAAATGTCCGCCGCATACACCTCCAAACACTCGTTCGCCTGGCGGGGCCGTGCAGATACACACGTCTGGAAATAAAGCAGGAACTGTCTCTGGCCAAAAGCTGCCGCCAGCTTCTCCTTCACACGTTCGTAATCACCCTGCACATCTGCCGGTAAACTGTCCCACAGTAGGAAAGCTGCACTGTCCAGTCTGGTAGGTAGAATGTTCAGCAAGGTAGCTGCGTAGCTCGTGCCCCTCGCACCCCTCGTCTGAGCACGAACAGCGGCTTCAAACTGTCTTATCCACGTAGCGAACTACCTCTGGCCGTCGCCCCTAAACATCGGCGGCAGCTCCACTCTAATATCACTACTCACAGAACCAGTCCAAGCAGCAGTACATCCGTTATAATCGTCTTCCATATCGCCGTCTCCCTTCATTCCTCCGAACATGACGCTTCGACGCTAGCACCGTTAGCACAGCTAGCCAGCAGAGCCGACCAGAAAGTCCAGTAATTGTCCACAGAAAAGAAAAATCCAAGAGCAGATAAAACACACTCCGATACCGCTGCCACCAATGTAACGTCCGAGGTGTTAAGGCTTCAAGAATACTTCTGTGTAACAAGAACTCAGGAACTTAGTACTTTTTGGAGCGTCACAGATGCCTCCGTTTATTAACGTCGAGTCACACACATGTCACACACCACTCTAGCCCCGACTGCGCATGCTCACAACACATGACCTCTCAACCCAATGCTTACACTACTACTACTACTACTACTACTACTACTACTACTACTGCTACTATTACTGCTGCTACTATTACTGCTACTACTACTACTGCTACTACTACTACTACTACTACTTCTACTACTGCTACTATTACTGCTACTACTACTTCTACTATTACTGCTACTACTACTACTACTACTACTGCTACTATTACTGCTACTACTACTACTGCTACTACTACTACTACTACTATTACTGCTACTACTACTTCTACTATTACTGCTACTACTACTACTTCTACTACTGCTACTACTACTACTACTACTACTGCTACTATTACTGCTACTACTACTACTTCTACTACTTCTACTACTATTACTGCTACTACTACTATTAAAATCAAATCAAGTTTTATTTATAAAGCACAATAAAAGACAATAAATTACAACAGATATATAAAAAACACAGGGAGAAGTCAGGAGTCATGCTCCGCTGACTAGAAGGCCAGGGAGAAGAAGTGTGTTTTAAGAGTAGATTTAAAAACCCCTAGGGTCTGGGCCGAGCTCACATGGAGGGGCAGAGTGTTCCAGAGCCTAGCGCCAGCTGCTGAGAAGGCTTTTCTATTACTACTACTGCTACTATTACTACTACTAATACTACTATTACTGCTACTACTACTCCAACTATTACTGCTACTATTACTGCTACTACTACTACTGCTACTATTACTGCTACTATTACTGCTACAAATACTAATACTGCTACTACTGCTACTACTATTACTGCTACTAATACTAATACTGCTGCTACTATTACCACCAATAGTATGAATAAGAAGGAGAGAAGTTGATGTGAATCATTAGCTGTACATCAACGTGTTTTTAAGGTGGTGCCATTTATATTCAGACCTTGGTAGAAATGTTCCCATAAATTAAACTAACTGTACCAAAGTGTCAAAATATGAAGAAAGACCAACAACATAACAGGAAGAAAATCAGTTTTAATACGAAAGTTCATACAAAACTTTAGCTTCCTCAATTATACAATATTTTTAAAAACAGATTTCAATAAAGTGTAAAGAACATCAGATCTGGATGCTAGCATGTTAGCGTCCAGCTGGTTTGCTAACGATGCTAACGATGCTAACAGATACCTGAAGCAGAGAGTCAGTTGAGCCTCTTCCCTCGCTGGGATTATTAAATTCATCATTTCTATTCACCTCATGCTTCGCCACCTCTAGGACGCTTCCACCTTAACCGTATTATGTGTTGGTTCTTCCTGTTACAGAGTGACTGCTATAACTTTGCAAAGCGTCACCAGCTTTATCAACCTGCCCTGTTTTTAAGCTTTTAAATAAACTGTTATTAAGTCATAACAGTTTTTCAGGTGAGAACAGTTCAGATCACTAATATGGGATTTAGATCCAAAAATCATATATTAGAGGTTTTACGTTGATGTTTGGAGCTGTGAGGAGCTGCTGCTGTATGAGAGGGTCTGCTTGAAGAAAACTGTTTTCTCAAAATTCAAAATGTATTGCTGAAAATCTCAGTTTTTCCTTTTTCCTCAAAATTCTGGACTTTTAACATTTTTTTCCAACATTTTTCAAAATTCTGTTTTTTTCCTAAAAAACGTTTTCCTTCAAATCAATTTTTTTTAAACTTTTTTCTCAAATTTCGGACTTTTCAAAATCTATAACATTCCTGACTTTTTCCCGAAATCTGAAAGTTCATTTTTTCTCGAAATGTTTTCTTTCTGACTTTTATATACATTTCTCAAAAATTCGGACTTTTTCTAAATATCTCAAACATTTCTTTTTTTTCTCGAATTTCTCAAAAATCTTACTTAAACTTTTTTTTATAAATGTATCTAATATTTTTTTCTAAATTTCTCAAAATTCAGACTTTTATAAATGATAAAATGCCAATGTTCTTACAACGCTGCTAGTGCTAACAGGAAGAACTAAGACATAAGCATTTGAACAGGAAGTGGGAAAAGGGGCGGGGCTTCATGAGATGAATAGAGGAATCAAAGTGCAGCGTAACTTAATGTTCCACACCTGAAACACAGCGATACAGATGAACCTGCTTAAAGACAGAAACTACAGCTGTGTGATCCCAAGGCTGTAAACACCAACCATCATTCCACAAAAAAACTAAAATATTCACAACAAAAATAAACCTTAATGATCTCACAACAACAACTGAAGAAAAACAAACAAAAAAAGGACACAAAATATCTCTCGAATAACTTCCTCGACCAAAACAAGTTGACTAGAGTTCAAACATATTTCGGCATCAACAGATTAGTGCAATCAGAGTTCAAACAAGACACAAGGTCCAACCAAAAAGCTCCAGGCAGAGACGGTCTGCTGGGAGACAGATCAGAAGCGTCTGTTGTTCCCAGTTCAGATTCAACCACAGCCCTTTTTCCACAAAGCTCTGCATGAACGCGCCACGGACGTGCAAAGAGAACGTCCGTACAAAGAGAACGTCCGCATGTTAACAACGAGCAGTAACATCACCTCTACTCTAGCCTGGGAGAAAACACCATATTGGTGCCAAATGTGATGAATGAAGTGTTTCTGAACACAAAGGGCTGGAAAGTAAGAAAGAACAAAAACTCAGATACACTACTTGTTCTACAATACGAGCTGTTAGCCTACAGATGTTTGCTAGTTTTAATATATAATAACGGAGTAGTTTATATGATCAGTAGATTGGGATATTACAGAGAATTATAATGTATTCTGTATATTTGATAATGTTTAGATACTCTAACTGCCTATATCTATCTATATGTCTCTCCTCCCCTCGGTCATGAACCTTGGAGTGACCTTCACTAGCACTTTTAAATTCGACAAGCAGGTCAGCACCGTAGTCAAATCCTGCTTTTTTAAAATAAGACTATTGGCCAAAACCAAGTCGTATTTATCTTTGAATGACTTAGAAAGGGTTATTAACGCCTTTGTAACCTCAAGACTGGACTATTGCAACGCTCTGTATGTGGGTATGGACCAGGCCTCAATTAAACGCCTGCAGCTAGTCCAAAACGCAGCTGCACGTTTGCTGACTGGCCACAAAAAGCGTGACCACATCACCCCTATTCTGGCCTCACTACACTGGCTTCCAGTTCGGTTCAGAATTGATTTTAAAGTCCTTTTATTTGTTTTTAAAGCACTAAATGGGCTGGCTCCGGCCTATATAGCTGAACTCCTCCAGCGCTACACCCCAGCCAGAGCTTTAAGGTCTGCTGACCAGCTGCTGCTGGTAGTGCCCAAGACCAGGCTCAAAACCCGAGGGCACCGAGCCTTCGCAGCAGCTGGCCCTAGGCTCTGGAACACTCTGCCCCTCCATGTGAGGTCGGCCCAGACCCTAGGGGTTTTTAAATCTACTCTAAAAACACACTTCTTCTCTCTGGCCTTCTAGTTAGAGCGGAGCACGACTCCTGACTTGTCCTTGTTTTTTTTGTTTTTTTTATATATCAGTTGTAATTTATTGTCTTTTATTGTGATTGTAGTAATGTGTTTTTATTACATGTACAGCACTTTGGCTCGACCAAAAATCGCTTTTAAATGTGCTTTATAAATAAAACTTGATTTGATTTGATTTACATCTATCTATCTATCTATCTATCTGCTTACATATCTATCTATTCATCTATCTCTCTACCTACCTACCTACCTACATTATTCTTAAAAGATGACTAACATCACCTGAGCTCGGCAACACTGATCAGATTTAAAAAGAGATATGTTCCTCTTCTTCAAATGTCCTAAAGGCCGCGGTGTCGATGCTGTCGTCATGTGGAAGTGAGCGGGGTTAAACCTGAACTGGGCTAAACGACAGACTGGGAAATCTGTTGTTTCCATTAAAGAACATTTACAGGAACAGTCCAACATTTTCAGATTCAGATGAGAAGATGGCGCTCCTCTGCGCTGGAAAGAATCCCTTATTCCTGAATCCTTTATTTCCCTTCATTTAGGCACAAAGGTATGTCTAAAGACACCGGACAGCTACACAATATAAAATCCCTATAAAAGGTCCCTAAAACCCTCAGAATACAAATGTGAGGGAGTAAATGCTAGCTTAGCTTAGCTTAGCACAGAGACAGGAAGCAGTGGGACACCTCTATGTGTTGGTATGAGGGAAACATCTCCCGTGTGTCTAAATGTGTATCAAGTCCTTTTGTGATGGGATTACAATCCATCACTTCAGAAATAAGAAATAATAAGAAAGTGGAATTTATACACGTTTTAGCCCAAATTATACAAACGTTTTTTTTACAGCAGCCATGACCATTGGTAGATGGAAGAGAACAGAGCCAGAGGACGCGGGAACTATTTGGAGAAAAGCTTGAATATTCTCTGAGATTTTAAAGTAAAAGAAACGCTTAAGATTTAAATCGTGAATGCAGAAGAAAAAAGGCCGAAATTGTGTTATTCTTTTGTCCAAAACGACATCGCAGCACAGACTCCACTTTATAACCAGAGAATATTATTTTCGTTGTCGCACATTTGTGAATTTATCCGTTAGATTGAACCTTTTGAAAAAGAGCTTTTCTCCAGATATAATCCAGGCTCCGTGATACGTCCTATATCCCAAACACGCAGTCCTACTTTATTCCAGAGGTACCAGAATAGTTTCTATGTGATTTCCTTGAAAGTAGTTTGGGATCAATTAGAGAACGCAGTGATTCGTCAATTAACCAATCAGTAGGATATATTGTTCTTTTTAACTCTAACCGTCTTTACAAACTACAGCTTCAGTTTTAACTCTAGATGATTTCCTTTTAGAGTAAATATAAATATCTCTTTGGTTTTAAAGGCGTGACGTCGGACGCTTTTTGTAAAACGATTAATTAAATGTAAGAAATAATGATCAGATTATAAATAAATGAATCGTTGATGTTGAGCTGATAATCGTTTGTTTGACACAGAGATTATTTTCCGACATAATTCAAAATCACATGGAGGAATCCCATTGGACCAGGAGATGCTGCCTTCAGGGACCAACACAGAAGTACGGCATCCTGCAGCTCTGTGTAAACCAATAAGATGACGGCCTGTGTATTTCACAGTGGGTTAAAGGCGCTGTGACGTTAACCCTCACCTGTGGAGGACGACCCTCTCACCTGTGGAGGACGACCCTCTCACCTGTGGAGGACGACCCTCTCACCTGTGGAGGATGACCCTCTCACCTGTGGAGGTCGACCCTCTCACCTGTGGAGGTCGAACCTCTCACCTGTGGAGGTCGACCCTCTCACCTGTGGAGGACGACCCTCTCACCTGTGGAGGACGACCCTCTCACCTGTGGAGGATGACCCTCTCACCTGTGGAGGTCGACCCTCTCACCTGTGGAGGTCGAACCTCTCACCTGTGGAGGTCGAACCTCTCACCTGTGGAGGATGACCCTCTCACCTGTGGAGGTCGACCCTCTCACCTGTGGAGTTCGACCCTCTCACCTGTGGAGGTCCACCCTCTCACCTGTGGAGGATGACCCTCTCACCTGTGGAGGTCGACCCTCTCACCTGTGGAGGTCGACCCTCTCACCTGTGGAGGACGACCCTCTCACCTGTGGAGGACGACCCTCTCACCTGTGGAGGTCGACCCTCTCACCTGTGGAGGTCAGATTGTCTTCGGTTCGTTCCCTGCTGAAGGCTTCTTGGTGGAAGAGTCTAAAGATCAGAGTCTGTATTCAAACTCTCTGCAGGTTAAGGTCACTTCATACAATCATTGTTTTATTTACACTAGAAAAATAGAGTTAACAAAATAAAAGCATTTCCTTTTTCTCAGTGGGAGGAGGAGGAGGAGGAGGAGGAGGAGGAGGAGGAGGAGGAGGAGGAGGAGGAGGAGGAGGAGGTCCCTTCAGGAAGATTTATTCCCAGTTTTATTGCTTTGGAGACGGTCCTGCAGAGGAGGAGAAGAAGATTTAAAAATAATAACAACAACAACAACAACATGAACAACAATCATAATAAAATATTAACAATAATAGTAACAACAACTCTAAAATAATCATTCTAATAATACATTTTCAAACTGGGATGGAAGTTAATTGGTTTTAGTTCAACTGGGATGGAAGTTAATTGGTTTTAGTTCAACTGGGATTGGAAGTTAATTGGTTTTAGTTCAACTGGGATGGAAGTTAATTGGTTTTAGTTCAACTGGGATGGAAGTTAATTGGTTTTAGTTCAACTGGGATTGGAAGTTAATTGGTTTTAGTTCAACTGGGATTGGAAGTTAATTGGTTTTAGTTCAACTGGGATTGGAAGTTAATTGGTTTTAGTTCAACTGGGATGGGAAGTTAATTGGTTTTAGTTCAACTGGGATGGAAGTTAATTGGTTTTAGTTCAACTGGGATTGGAAGTTAATTGGTTTTAGTTCAACTGGGATTGGAAGTTAATTGGTTTTAGTTCAACTGGGATGGAAGTTAATTGGTTTTAGTTCAACTGGGATGGAAGTTAATTGGTTTTAGTTCAACTGCGATTGGAAGTTAATTGGTTTTAGTTCAACTGGGATTGGAAGTTAATTGGTTTTAGTTAAACTGGGATGGAAGTTAATTGGTTTTAGTTCAACTGGGATTGGAAGTTAATTGGTTTTAGTTCAACTGGGATTGGAAGTTAATTGGTTTTAGTTCAACTGGGATGGAAGTTAATTGGTTTTAGTTCAACTGGGATGGAAGTTAATTGGTTTTAGTTCAACTGGGATGGAAGTTAATTGGTTTTAGTTCAACTGGGATGGAAGTTAATTGGTTTTAGTTCAACTGGGATTGGAAGTTAATTGGTTTTAGTTCAACTGGGATGGAAGTTAATTGGTTTTAGTTCAACTGGGATGGAAGTTAATTGGTTTTAGTTCAACTGGGATGGAAGTTAATTGGTTTTAGTTCAACTGGGATTGGAAGTTAATTGGTTTTAGTTCAACTGGGATGGAAGTTAATTGGTTTTAGTTCAACTGGGATGGAAGTTAATTGGTTTTAGTTCAACTGGGATTGGAAGTTAATTGGTTTTAGTTCAACTGGGATTGGAAGTTAATTGGTTTTAGTTCAACTGGGATTGGAAGTTAATTGGTTTTAGTTCAACTGGGATTGGAAGTTAATTGGTTTTAGTTCAACTGAGATGGAAGTTAATTGGTTTTAGTTCAACTGGGATTGGAAGTTAATTGGTTTTAGTTCAACTGGGATGGAAGTTAATTGGTTTTAGTTCAACTGCGATTGGAAGTTAATTGGTTTTAGTTCAACTGGGATTGGAAGTTAATTGGTTTTAGTTCAACTGGGATTGGAAGTTAATTGGTTTTAGTTCAACTGGGATTGGAAGTTAATTGGTTTTAGTTCAACTGGGATGGAAGTTAATTGGTTTTAGTTCAACTGGGATGGAAGTTAATTGGTTTTAGTTCAACTGGGATGGAAGTTAATTGGTTTTAGTTCAACTGGGATGGAAGTTAATTGGTTTTAGTTCAACTGGGATGGAAGTTAATTGGTTTTAGTTCAACTGAGATGGAAGTTAATTGGTTTTAGTTCAACTGGGATTTGAAGTTAATTGGTTTTAGTTCAACTGGGATGGAAGTTAATTGGTTTTAGTTCAACTGGGATGGAAGTTAATTGGTTTTAGTTCAACTGGGATGGAAGTTAATTGGTTTTAGTTTAACTGGGATGGAAGTTAATTGGTTTTAGTTCAACTGGGATTTGAAGTTAATTGGTTTTAGTTCAACTGGGATGGAAGTTAATTGGTTTTAGTTCAACTGGGATGGAAGTTAATTGGTTTTAGTTTAACTGGGATGGAAGTTAATTGGTTTTAGTTCAACTGGGATGGAAGTTAATTGGTTTTAGTTCAACTGGGATGGAAGTTAATTGGTTTTAGTTCAACTGGGATTGGAAGTTAATTGGTTTTAGTTCAACTGGGATGGAAGTTAATTGGTTTTAGTTCAACTGGGATGGAAGTTAATTGGTTTTAGTTCAACTGGGATTGGAAGTTAATTGGTTTTAGTTCAACTGGGATTGGAAGTTAATTGGTTTTAGTTCAACTGGGATTGGAAGTTAATTGGTTTTAGTTCAACTGGGATTGGAAGTTAATTGGTTTTAGTTCAACTGGGATGGAAGTTAATTGGTTTTAGTTCAACTGGGATTGGAAGTTAATTGGTTTTAGTTCAACTGGGATTGGAAGTTAATTGGTTTTAGTTCAACTGGGATGGAAGTTAATTGGTTTTAGTTCAACTGGGATTGGAAGTTAATTGGTTTTAGTTCAACTGGGATTGGAAGTTAATTGGTTTTAGTTCAACTGAGATGGAAGTTAATTGGTTTTAGTTCAACTGGGATTGGAAGTTAATTGGTTTTAGTTCAACTGAGATGGAAGTTAATTGGTTTTAGTTCAACTGAGATGGAAGTTAATTGGTTTTAGTTCAACTGGGATTGGAAGTTAATTGGTTTTAGTTCAACTGGGATGGAAGTTAATTGGTTTTAGTTCAACTGGGATGGAAGTTAATTGGTTTTAGTTCAACTGGGATTGGAAGTTAATTGGTTTTAGTTCAACTGGGATGGAAGCAGATTTCCAGTGGGATCAGACTTGGTGGTTTACCGGGTTTGGGTCGGGATGCGTTCAGGACCGGAAGACGTGGACGGCTCGCACCACGTACTGCCGGCAGATCGGACACTCGCTCATCCTCTTGCCGCACTTTGTGCAGGTGATCATGTGACCACACTCCAGCAGCACGCAGTCGATGGGAGAGTCCATACAGATCTTACATTGGTTCTCCTCCGGACCGGCAGAACCAGCACCAGCGGACTCTAGAACCACGCAAAGACAGGCAGTGTGAGAGAGCATACAGGGCTCAATGAGAACACATCACCTTCATTACATAAACAACAACAACAACAAAAGGGACAATAATAATACATTTGGTTCAACTTGGATTTGAAAGAAATGGTTTTAGTTGAACTGGCTCATAGAACATATGAGCTGCATCACAGATAGTTTCTCAGTTACTTCAGAGAGGAATTGCTCAATTAATAAAATATATATATCATTTCAGTTTAAACAGCAATCCAAAAAAAACTGATGATCCAAATAGTTTTTTTAATAAATCAGAATATAATCAAATATAGACAGAAACATACAAATAACCACCAAATTGTAAAACAATATAATAATTCAAAAGTAAAAAGGTCACTTTAGCGTGTTCTTAATTTGTCTTTAAATTTGATGAGGATCTGAAATAGATTAGAATAAATCCAAGAGGAATATACAAACAAAGGGATGTAATCTAATAATTAACATGTTTCCCACTTTGTATGACATGAAGGTGTGTTTGTGAGCTCACCTGAGGCGTTCACAGCGTTGGCAGCTGGAAGAAAAAACAGGATTTATTTATTTGAACATGGTCTTCCTGTGAACACACCGGACGAGAAGTTCATTATTTTGCATGTCGCGATAACATGTCAATGTAAAAACACCAGAGGTGGGAAGTAACCAAGTACATTTACATTTAACTTAGTACTGTACTTAAGTACAATTTGGAGGTACTTGTACTTTACTTGAGTATTTACATGTCATGCTACCTTGTACTTCTACTCCACTACAGTTCAGAGGTACTTGGTGTACTTCTACTCCCCTACATGTATTTAACACCTTCAGTTACTTCACAGATGTGGATGAATGATGTGAAATCTAACCAAGTGTTAAATCAGACTTTAGTTCCACCTGGAGTAAATCCACAAGCTACCCTGCAGTATACAAAGTCATTCAAACTAGCTGCACCTTTACCAGCTTTGAGAACACTTTCATGATCAATCATTATAAAACATATCTTATAAAACGGACAAGCAATCTGATTGGTTCTTAGCCGTGGTATACTGAGCGTATACCACGGGTAGAATTGTAAGTTACTTTTCACAACAAGTCAGTATCCCTCCGCGTCTGAGATAAACAGTACAGTTGGGCTGAAAAGCAAACTGCCTGCAGTTTGCTTTTCAAACTGGAACAAGAAAGCAGCGGAGAAGTAACGGGCAGAAACCCTCCTTTTTACGCAGCGGTCCAGACATAGACATCAAACGGCAAAACATATTCAGTGTGCAGTTCCTTTGGCATTAGGGCAGGGATATTTAGATACTTTCCAAGGTTTGACATAATGAATTGTGCTACTTTTAAAGCGAGCAACGATGTTTTCAAATCTGTAATCAAAAAGGTCCGCAAAAACATTTAAGATTAACTTCGACCTCCGGGGGGGGGGGGGGGGGGGTCTTACTATGGAGGAGTGGATTGAGGAGTGCCTATCTCCAGAACAAAAAGCACCTAAACGACGACATGCAGAGCTACGTGAAGAGCAGGTAGACCAACTGGAAAAGTACCACCATTCAAAAGCTTTCTGATGCGGGTCTTGAAACAAAGCAGAGACATGATGACCGTTAGTGGCCACAGGTGCGAAAGCTCTCTCCAGAGCTACTGGAAGCCGAATCTCGGGGACCGGAGAAAGTGGAGCAATATTCTCTCCACGCCAAAGAACAGCCTAGAACAACCTCAGCCTATACAAGTGACCACGTAAGCCATGCTGCTGATGCTGGACAGGTTTTCAGTGGGTGCACAATAAACGGCAACATACACATTAATGTAAATAAATAGCCAAATAATGGATCAACGCTCTCTGTCTAATATGTTCGCTAGCTGTTAGTGTTGTTGCATAGCAACCACCTCGCACTATGTTTCGTGCAGAAGGCAACAGAGGGACTATTTTATTTTGAACATCATTATTTACTAATAAAAAACTATTTAAATTAGAGTGTGTATTTTTCTTTCATATTGCCACACTTGGTAACCGTTTCATAAAAGCAATAGCTCACTTCAGGCCGTGGTATATGCTCAGTATATCACAGCTAAGGGGCGTTGTTCAACCCCCTCAGCTGTGATATAATGAGCATATACCACGGCCTGAAGTGAGCTATTGCTTAAATATATATTATTCTGAAATGGACCAATCTGCACAATGACTACTTTTACTGTCTCTACTTTAACTATATTTTGATGATAATACTTTTCTACTTTTACTTAAGTAACATTTTGAATGCAGGACTTTTACTGAAACAGAGTATTCCTACACTCTGGTACTTCTACTTTTACTCAAGTACAAGATCTGAGTACTTCTACTTTTACTCAAGATCTGAGTACTTCTACTTTTACTCAAGAACAAGATCTGAGTACTTCTACTTTTACTCAAGTACAAGATCTGAGTACTTCTACTTTTACTCAAGACCTGAGTACTTCTACTTTTACTCAAGTACAAGATCTGAGTACTTCTACTTTAACTCAAGATCTGAGTACTTCTACTTTTACTCAAGTACAAGATCTGAGTACTTCTACTTTTACTCAAGACCTGAGTACTTCTACTTTTACTCAAGTACAAGATCTGAGTACTTCTACTTTAACTCAAGATCTGAGTACTTCTACTTTTACTCAAGTACAAGACCTGAGTACTTCTACTTTTACTCAAGTACCAGACCTGAGTACTTCTACTTTTACTCAAGTACAAGATCTGAGTACTTCTACTTTTACTCAAGAACAAGATCTGAGTACTTCTACTTTTACTCAAGTACAAGATCTGAGTACTTCTACTTTTACTCAAGTACAAGACCTGAGTACTTCTACTTTTACTCAAGTACCAGACCTGAGTACTTCTACTTTTACTCAAGTACAAGACCTGAGTACTTCTACTTTTACTCAAGTACCAGACCTGAGTACTTCTACTTTTACTCAAGTACAAGACCTGAGTACTTCTACTTTTACTCAAGTACCAGACCTGAGTACTTCTACTTTTACTCAAGTACCAGACCTGAGTACTTCTACTTTTACTCAAGTACAAGATCTGAGTACTTCTACTTTTACTCAAGAACAAGATCTGAGTACTTCTACTTTTACTCAAGTACCAGACCTGAGTACTTCTACTTTTACTCAAGTACAAGACCTGAGTACTTCTACTTTTACTCAAGAACAAGATCTGAGTACTTCTACTTTTACTCAAGTACCAGACCTGAGTACTTCTACTTTTACTCAAGAACAAGATCTGAGTACTTCTACTTTTACTCAAGTACCAGACCCGAGTACTTCTACTTTTACTCAAGTACCAGACCTGAGTACTTCTACTTTTACTCAAGTACCAGACCTGAGTACTTCTACTCACCCTGGAGGTTCTGCTGGTCCTGGTACAGCCGGACCACCCGCTCCATCAGCTCCCACTTCTCACAGCAGCCTTTGTAGTTCACAAAGTTTCTGGCGAGGATTTCCTTCAGCTGCCGCACGCTGAGCGCCTCGATGTCGTCCACGCTGCTCAGGTCTGAGAGCGACGCCCGGCGGCCGGAAACAGGCGCCTCCTCCGGGTCCCACGCCTGAAAAACATTTTTAAATGTGTTCTTTAGACTTTGTTTTGTATTTCTATAGATAATATGTTTTAGTATTCCAGCTTTAACCTGGAAATGACTTTTCCGCATCATAGACTCTAAACTAAGTGTGTTGTTTTTGTATTACTACACATATTTTATTCCATTCTATTTCTATGGAAATACTGCTATATTTTTTATTATTTTCTAATGTTATTATAGTTTTCTTAAAAAATACTAATCACTAGTCGACTAAAGTCTTAATCGAGCAATTTTTCATTAGTCGATTATTTGAAGAAAAACAATTATATAATTAATTTTTTTTAAAAGCTCCATCCGCGTGCAGCCGGAGACCCTCAGACTGCACGCTGCACGTGACGCGTCAGCCGGAGACCCTCAGACTGCACGCTGCACGTGACGCGTCAGCCGGAAACCCTCAGACTGCACGCTGCATGTGACGCGTCAGCCGGAAACCCTCAGACTGCACGCTGCATGTGACGCGTCAGCCGGAAACCCTCAGACTGCACGATGCACGTGACGCGTCAGCCGGAAACCCTCAGACTGCACGCTGCATGTGACGCGTCAGCCGGAGACCCTCAGACTGCACGCTGCACGTGACGCGTCAGCCGGAAACCCTCAGACTGCACGCTGCATGTGACGCGTCAGCCGGAAACCCTCTGACTGCACGCTGCATGTGACGCGTCAGCCGGAGACCCTCAGACTGCACGCTGCATGTGACGCGTCAGCCGGAAACCCTCAGACTGCACGCTGCACAGAGTTCCCGTTAGCCGGTAATTACCGGACAATGACCGGTAAAATATGCGGAAGTCCGGCAAATCTAAATCTCTCCGGTCAACATGTCCGGTAAAAATATTTTGCCCTTAGCGCAATATAAAGTGTATTCAAATAAACAATAAATAGATTTTTGTTTTTGTTTGTTTAAATTAAATTATCTTTTGTGTTAATAGGCTAGCGCACTGTAGGCCACGGCGTAATGTGGAACGAACCCGTTACGTTTGTTTCATTCAGTAAGATAAAGTGGGCGCACAATAACAACAGGACGACAGAGAGATGAGAAAAATCGGACATGGCAAAACAAGCTAAGCTTAAAAATTATTTCTTTAAACAAGCAGGTCTAATGATGATAATACCGACAATGAGATGGCGATACCGCCTGCTGTCAATGAGACCGTAGATGCCTTGGCCCCGGACAGAAAAAAACAAAGATCCCGCGCGTTCAGACCCGAATGGAAAGATACATTCACCTGGCTGAGGTGCGACATTATAGATGGGGAAGAAATTCTGTTCTGCTCACACTGCGAGAAGTCGGGGAGAAAGAACGGGTTCACCAAAGGAGCAACAAATATGAGAACCTCTTCGCTTATTGAACACAGTCAGAGCAATGAGCACATTTTGTCAGTGAACACAATACCACAACAAACCGCAATGAAAGGCCACTGTGAGAAGGCGAATGAAGCTTCCAACATGAAGCTATGTTCTCAGCTACAAGTCGTGTTTCACAAGCTTCCAACATGGAGCTGTGTTTCACAAGCTTCCAACATGGAGCTATGTTCTCAGCTACAAGTCGTGTTTCACATGGCTAAAAACCACATTGCAGGTAATCAGTATGCAGGGTTGACTGAGCTACTACGAGAAGTGAAGGCTCCTGATTTTGTCACAGGTGATGGAATTTACCGGCACGGTGATTCCGTTGATGACATGGAAAAGGCCATAGATGAAGTCCTGATTAAGCAGCTGGACGAAAAACTAAAGAAGAGTGACTTTATCGGAATAATCATTGACGAGACGGTTAATCTCACTGTGGACAAAAAGCTGATAATATACGCCAAGTTGCAAATTAAAGGAAAAGTGGAGACGTGTTTTTTGGGAAACTATGACGTGCACTCCGGGACAGCACAGTGTATATTTGATGAGGTGCTCCGCGAGAGGGATGTGAAACTGTCAAGCGTCATTGGCCTGGGCTCAGACGGGGCTCGTGTAATGATGGGCAAACGTGCTGGAGTTGGTGCTCTTCTGAAGAGAGAGAGTGCGTTTTGCATTCAGGTGCACTGTGTTGCATTCAGGTGCACTGTGTTGCATTCAGGTGCACTGTGTTGCATTCAGGTGCACTGTGTTGCATTCAGGTGCACTGTGTTGCATTCAGGTGCACTGTGTTGCATTCAGGTGCACTGTGTTGCCCACCGAGCTGCGCTGGCCGCGCTAGATGCGGCAAAAGCTGTGGACCAAGTAGGAGTTTACAAGCGCACAGTATCCTCTGTGTACTCATTTTACAAACACTCAGCCAGCAGGACCAATCGCCTCCGTCAAATGACAGCAGCGCTCGGGGATGAAGATGTGAAAAGCCTAAAGCAGCAGTGCGCTGTCCGCTGGTTATCCTTGCACAGGGCAGTGGAGGGTATCAAGCTGGCCTGCTCTGGTGATGGAGCTACATGAAGAGGCTGTTGGAGGAAATGCCCAAGCAAAAGGCATCTTGGTCAAATCCAGCCATACTGCTTTATCGCCTGGACTCACGCACTGGCTGATGTGCTACCTGTTATGACCAAACTGAATTTGGTTTTCCAGAAAGAGGATGTCAATCTGGCCACAATCCGACCAATGGTTGCACGCTGACGCGTCACATGCAGCGTGCAGTCTGAGGGTTTCCGGCTGACGCGTCACGCGTCAGCCGGAAACCCTCAGACTGCACGCTGCATGTGACGCGTCAGCCGGAAACCCTCAGACTGCACGCTGCATGTGACGCGTCAGCCGGAAACCCTCAGACTGCACGCTGCACGTGACGCGTCAGCCGGAAACCCTCAGACTGCACGCTGCACGTGACGCGTCAGCCGGAAACCCTCAGACTGCACGCTGCACGTGACGCGTCAGCCGGAAACCCTCAGACTGCACGCTGCACGTGACGCGTCAGCCGGAAACCCTCAGACTGCACGCTGCACGTGACGCGTCAGCCGGAAACCCTCAGACTGCACGCTGCATGTGACGCGTCAGCCGGAAACCCTCAGACTGCACGCTGCACGTGACGCGTCAGCCGGAAACCCTCAGACTGCACGATGCACGTGACGCGTCAGCCGGAAACCCTCAGACTGCACGCTGCATGTGACGCGTCAGCCGGAAACCCTCAGACTGCACGCTGCATGTGACGCGTCAGCCGGAAACCCTCAGACTGCACGCTGCATGTGACGCGTCAGCCGGAGACCCTCAGACTGCACGCTGCAATGTGACGCGTCAGCCGGAAACCCTCAGACTGCACGCTGCATGTGACGCGTCAGCCGGAAACCCTCAGACTGCACGCTGCATGTGACGCGTCAGCCGGAAACCCTCAGACTGCACGATGCATGTGACGCGTCAGCCGGAAACCCTCAGACTGCACGCTGCATGTGACGCGTCAGCCGGAAACCCTCAGACTGCACGCTGCATGTGACGCGTCAGCCGGAGACCCTCAGACTGCACGCTGCATGTGACGCGTCAGCCGGAAACCCTCAGACTGCACGCTGCATGTGACGCGTCAGCCGGAAACCCTCAGACTGCACGCTGCACGTGACGCGTCAGCCGGAAACCCTCAGACTGCACGCTGCACGTGACGCGTCAGCCGGAAACCCTCAGACTGCACGCTGCATGTGACGCGTCAGCCGGAAACCCTCAGACTGCACGCTGCATGTGACGCGTCAGCCGGAAACCCTCAGACTGCACGCTGCATGTGGCGCGTCAGCCGGAGACCCTCAGACTGCACGCTGCATGTGACGCGTCAGCCGGAGACCCTCAGACTGCACGCTGCATGTGACGCGTCAGCCGGAAACCCTCAGACTGCACGCTGCATGTGGCGCGTCAGCCGGAGACCACTCAGAGCGGAGCCTGGGCATTGAGTTCATTTGGTCTGGCAGGAAATCTAAAGTGTGGATCTTTCTGAGCGAGTAAAGGACGAGTCCCACAAGGTGACATGCAGACTACGAGGCAACAAGTCTCCTCCGTGTCCTCCATCACAGCTTCCTGACTGCGGCTTCACAACAACACGGAGATTAATTATCCCCAACGTGTGATCCTCTCTCAGACTCAGAGGAAAACAGAGAGTCAGGCAGCAACCTAGCTCTAGAGACCTATCATATATGTTGATGTTTTCATGTGTTTTATTGTTCAGAGTTTGTTTACATTTTACAGAATGTCAGCGAACGTGTCACTGTTTGAGTTTGTGGGTGAGAGTGAGGATTTGACCGAGTTATTTCATTGTTTTGCCGTGGTTGGTGCTACAATATAATCATGGGGGGAACCTTCATTTTTCAGAAGGTTCGGTTTGCGTTCACACAGGCAAAATTCAAAAAGGACTATAAACGTGTCATGTGCACGGAAATGCTGTTCAACCATTGGTCAGACATTAAGGGGGTAAAAACGCAAATCCCGGCAATTTCTACCGGAGCCTCCGCCATGGAGCATCGGCAGGTTATTTTCATGCTGCTGTTCATCTGGAGATCAACAGACTCTAGCAACGGCGCGTATGATTATACAATCAGACAACGTGCGATAAAAAACATTACCCATATGAGAGACGTTCTGCAGTCAGGAGGGCGTTTCAGCGACGACAGGTGGCTCTGACTTTTATGTATAGTTGACGGAGCATTTTTACTTTACACGTAGTAACGGCAGTAGTGTATATGTCTCAAGTGTAATTTGGGTTGGTTTCCTATTTTGTATGGACATGCTTTTATTTTGAAGGAGAGTTAGCGCTGTTGACAGGAAGTTGCTATGGAAACAACGTGACGGAGAAAAGGAGCGGAGATTAACGGAGAAAAGTAATATCTACATATAAAGACGGAGAAAGTAAAGTTTAAAGTGTACGGTTAAGTGTTAGCACCCCCTGAAGAGGCACAAGCTCTTACGTTAATATTGGAGATTTCAATAAATTCAATTGGAGAAAAAAACGAATATCCGAATAACGAAATTGAAAACCGAATAGTAGGCCAACGTCCGAATATTCGGATACAGCCCTAGTATGCACCGTGACATCAAGTACAATTCCTCGTACGTGTCAACCTACCTGGTGATAAACCTGTTTCTGAAAATATCCTGACATGTTCCAGGTGTAGAAGTGGAACTGGTTACCTGGTCTTCTTCCTGAACCTCGGGCTCTGCGGCGGGGGCGGGGCCTGTGGGAGGGGGCGGGGCTTCCGGCTCTGCAGCGGGGGGGTCAGGCGTCGGGGCGGGGGGGTCTGGAGGCGAGGCGGCGACATCAGGGGGGTCAGAGGTCACCGACGGGGGGTCAGAGGTCATGGTGTCGGGGGGGGAAGATGGTGAAGGCTGCCGGCCAAGGACGAGCTCCACAAGCTCCTCCTACAGGAAACAGGAAGCAGGAGGAAGGAGGCAGGAAACAGGAAGCAGGAAACAGGAAACAGGGTTAGACTGGTGGGGGACATGTTTTGATGATGTATTTTGAGTGTGGGACAGGAAGTGACCTTCTCTCTGCACAGGTGCGTGGAAACCTCGTGCAGGTGCAGATAATCCCGCAGCTCCTTCACCTTCAGCTTCATTAGCTCCGCCCTCTCCAGCAGGTTGCCGTAGAAACGCTGACAGGTGTGACAGAGGCGGGGGCGGGGCTCCAGGTGGGTGGAGCAACGGCTGCAGAAGTCTTTCTTACAGTCCACACACACATGCTGAGAGACAGGTGAAGATAAGAGATAAGAGAGTACTTTATTGATCCCAATTTGGGACATTTTTGTGAAGACAGGTAACACCTCGAGCTTTCTCCTGTTTGTATTTCAACTTTTACTCAAAATATTCAAACTTTTACAAAAAATATTCAAACTTTTAATCAAAATATTCCAACTTTTACTCAAAATATTCCAACTTTTACTCAAAATATTCCAACTTTTACAAAAAATATTCCAACTTTTACTCAAATATTCCAACTTTTACTCAAATATTCAAACTTTTAATCAAAATATTCTGACTTTTACGAAAATGTCAACTTTTACTCAAAATATTCAGACTTAACGAATATTCAAAGTTTATTATGATTATTCCACCTTGTTTTTTTGCTCAATATTCCAACTTTTTTTATGGATATTCCACTTTTTCCCCCCAAAAAAATCTGAAAATTATGACTGATTTTTTTGGGGGGAATGTTGTCTTTACTCTCTTAAGATATTCTAGTTTTTATATCGTAATATTCCAACATTATGAAAGAGTTGAGACTTAGAATAAATCCATAAAGATGTCGGCCCTCACCTTCTTGGCAGGTGTGTCGAGTTCCGCCCCGCAGGCCTTACAGGTGAGTTCAGGTGAGGGGGGGGGGCGGCGCCTGGCTGTTGAACCCTGAGTTTGTGTAAGACTGGTGACGACGCTCTTCTGCAGACAGCTGATCAACTCCACCTGAGTCTAAACAGAACCAGCTGCAGCACGACGCAAACATACCTGAAACACACAGACACACACAAACACACACAGGAACACACAGGATCACACACAGAAACACACAGGAACACACAGGATCACACACAAACACAAAGAAACACAAATAATCACACACAGAAACACACAGGATCACACACACAAACACACACAATCACACACACAAACACACACACAAACACACACAGACACTCCTTAGCAAAGGTCATTAAAGTGTTGAACAGCTGTCATATTATATATGAATCAGAATCAATTAAGTACACTCAGCCATGTAATAAAGTGTTCTCAAAGCTGGTAAAGGTGCAGCTAATTCGAATGACTTTGTATACTGTGTGAATTTACTCCAGGTGGAACTAAAGTCTGATTTAACACTTGATTATATTTCACATCATTCATCCACATCTGTGAAGTAACTAAAGGTATTAAATACATGTAGTGGAGTCAAAGTACACCATGTACCTCTGAACTGTAGAGGAGTGGAAGTACACAGTAGCAGAACATGGAAATACTCCAGTAAAGTACAAGTATCTCTAAATTGCATTGGTACAGACGACACTGCCAGATTAAATAGCATTTCTGTGTTATTCTCTATTTGTCAGACATTTCTTCACCTGATAAAATTAACGTGTTCACAGCACTAGGATCTTCTGATGAATTCGGGTTTATAGTTTTATGAAGTATGAGTCTTATTTAACAAATAACCAGGCATAGAAACACCTCGGATAATAACATGCTCCTTGTTATTATACGAGACATACGAATACACTTAAAAAGAGCATAGAATAGACGACAATAAAGGCATTTAAAAGGAGGATAGTGCAAATTCACATTGTGATTACACAGCGACATATTGGTAGTTAGTGAAGTTTACAGAATGACACAAACAGGGAAGTTTACATGTAATTAACATAAATATAAGGTAAACTGTCAGCCGAATAAGTCATTGTTTCGAGAGAATACATACAAAGTAGTAAATTAAGGATTCAAGCGCATTTTCTGTGGATCTTCCCTTAATTTTGACGTTATGTGAACGGAGTCTGGTAACAGGCTAAAGGCTAGGCTAAAGGCTAAGCTAAAGGCTAAGCTAACGGCTAGTCAGTGAGGTTGACATGGAGACACAAATACAGAGAAGTTTATAATTGAATTAAGCTAAACGCTGTTATGTATAAGCCGTCAGCCGAACAAATGAGTGTTTGGAGATAATACGTAAAACATAATAAAGTAATGATTTAGACGCATTTTCTGCGCAATTGTGATTAAGGCTCCGTTAAATGTGACGTTATTTGAACGGAGTCTGGCAGCTAACAGGCTAAGGGCTAAGCTAAAGGCTAAGTTAAAGGTTAGTTAGTGAAGTTTACAGAGAGACACAAACACACAGAAACCGAGAAGACAACACTTAGCGCGGGTTAAAGTGACCCGGGTAACACTTTAACAGACAACTAACCAGCAGGATTACCGTCATTATGATCCGTCTTACCTGTGGTCGACAGCGACGCAAACAGCAGGAAGTAACCAACGGATAATTCACAAACACCAGCTAGTTAGCGTTCATTAGCTAGTTAGCAGCTAGTTAGCAGGGTGACGCTGTTTGTGAATCAACATGTCTGTAGTTTGTCCTTAAAGTGAACAATAAAGAAAACTCCACCACCACTGAGGATAACAACAGTACTGAACCAGGAAGTTAAACCACACACACACACACACACACACACACACACACACACACACACACACACACACACACACACACACACACACACACACACACACACACACACACACACACACACACACACACACACACACACACACACACACACACACACAGGTTGAAAAGTACTCGTACTCATTATTCAGAGTGAGCATCATATATTTAAAATGATTGTATTATAATAATTGAATGTGTTCATTGCTTGGTAAAAGTGGTGTTTATTTACTAACTTAACCTATAATAATATATGGTGTGGTACTAGTTGATTTATATTTGTATTTATAATCTAATTCTGCAAAGAAACTAGTAACTAAATCTGTAAAATAAATGTAGTGGAGTAGAAGTATAAGTGGCTTAATGAAAATACTAAAGTACAGTATAAGTACATACTTTTACAGAACTTGAGTAATTGTACATTTCACCACTACACACACACACTTTTAAAAGTCCTGGTTTTCATAATTGTACTGAAGTAAAAGTACTAAAAGTATTAGCACCAAAATATACTATACTAGTAAAAGTACTAATTTTGCACGATTACCCAATTCAGAAAAAATACACAGTACATATCAGCTAAATGTACTTCAAGTATCAAAAGTACTCATTATGCAGAATGGATATGTTCACAGTTTTAGTATTGTAGTTTTTCTCGAAATACTGTGTGGATTAGTACTAAAGTACTGCATTTTACTATATTAGCATATCATGTGTTTTCCTATGTACAAAGTAACTGTAAGTAAGTGTTAGATACACGTTGTGCAGTAAAAAGTACAGTATTTACCTCTGAAATGTAGTGGAGTAGAAGTATAAATCATCAAATGGAAATACTTAAGTAAAGTACAAATATGTCAAAGAAGTACTCAAGAACAGTGCTTGAGTAAATACTTAGTTACTTTCCACCACTGTTTTTAAAAGTCTCATAATTATTTTTCTTTTACTAAATAATCTTTTGGATGAAGTGTTTTTTAATACACGTTTAAGGATATATTTCCATGACGTGTTTTTTCCCGTAGACACACTACATACTGATATACACCTGAACATCAGCAGGAGAGGACTCTTTAAAGTAGAGACACTACATACTGATATACACCTGAACATCAGCAGGAGAGGACTCTTTAAAGTAGAGACACTACATACTGATATACACCTGAACATCAGCAGGAGAGGACTCTTTAAAGTAGAGACACTACATACTGATATACACCTGAACATCAGCAGGAGAGGACTCTTTAAAGTAGAGACACTACATACTGATATACACCTGAACATCAGCAGGAGAGGACTCTTTAAAGTAGAGACACTACATACTGATATACACCTGAACATCAGCAGGAGAGGACTCTTTAAAGTAGAGACACTACATACTGATATACACCTGAACATCAGCAGGAGAGGACTCTTTAAAGTAGAGACACTACATACTGATATACACCTGAACATCAGCAGGAGAGGACTCTTTAAAGTAGAGACACTACATACTGATATACACCTGAACATCAGCAGGAGAGGACTCTTTAAAGTAGAGACACTACATACTGATATACACCTGAACATCAGCAGGAGAGGACTCTTTAAAGTAGAGACACTACATACTGATATACACCTGAACATCAGCAGGAGAGGACTCTTTAAAGTAGAGACACTACATACTGATATACACCTGAACATCAAGCAGGAGAGGACTCTTTAAAGTAGATGACACTACATACTGATATACACCTGACATTCAGCAGGAGAGAACTCTTTAAAGTAGAGACACTACATACTGATATACACCTGAACATCAGCAGGAGAGGACTCTTTTAAAGTAGAGACACTACATACTGATATACACCTGAACATCAGCAGGAGAGGACTCTTTAAAGTAGAGACACTACATACTGATATACACCTGAACATCAGCAGGAGAGGACTCTGCGTAACTCGTTGGAGAGACATAAACAAAGCGAGGACCACTGCAAGTCCATGAGCAGGTTTGAATGCTACAACCTATTGTTGCTGTTAGTGCAATAAAATAGTTACCTAACGATTGTTAATAACCCAATTTGTGTTCTGTGAAACTGAAAAGGATATTACGTTGTTTTTGTTACTTTCGTTGCAGTGGTAAATATGTGTTAAATGTAATTTAGGTTAACTTCCTGTGTTATTTACATGCTTTTATTTTGAAGGCGAGTTTACGCTGTTGACAGGAAGTTGTTGTTGCTATGGAAACAACGTGACAGAGAAAAGGAGCGGAGATTAATCTGCATATAAAGACGGAGTAAAGGATAAAGTTTATGTTTAAGTTTAGCACCCCCCCGAAGAGGCACCAAGTTGGTATTAACTATAATATAAAAATGTGGGTTTTGTGCTAATTCGTTTATAAGCTGTTTTGTAGCTTTGCTGTGTTTACAGTTCACTTTTGGTAGCATGCTAAAGTGATTCTAATACGGATGGAGCCTAAATGTATTTGTTATTTTTGTGTCTTTATAGCTCTTACATTGATATTGGAGATTTCAATGAACTCATATCATCAGTCAGGTCTTCCACCATTATTCTGAGGGAAATGCTACAACGATGCTTGGCAATGGGCATTATTATATATTATTATTATAGGCCAGGCCTACCTTAAAGTCATTTTTCCCCCTGGAATAAGCTGGCCCACCCTATTTCATACAGGCCCGCCCTAAAGTAACTGTCTGCCTACGCTACTGCTACATACTGATATACACCTGAATATAAATACAAAATATGTTCAGGTAGAAATAAACACTTCCTCCACACACAGAGGCAGAAACGGGACAAGCTTTATTTTTGTATTCCTTACATCTAAATAAAACCGAGCCCCCTTCCCCCCATGAAAGTAAACACATTTTTGTTTGTTGACGTTGATGATAGTTTTATTGCCATAAACAGTGTAGGAAAAAAAAATGAACAAAAAGAAAAAGTTAAAACAGCCGTTTATTTATTCTATAGTACAGTAAAGCAAACGTCCAGGAGAACTGTTTATTAAACCTTCTCATAACGCGACCCCCCCCCCCCCCCAAAACCACACACACCCCGTACCGTCTCCTCCGCAAAGATGCAAAATAATTACAGTTTGAACCACAAAACCAAACGTCTCCGCACCATAACAATAATTTGGACTTCTGCAGTTCATTCCAAACTTTTCATCAATTTTTACAAAACTTTATTGGCGGCAGTCGGCTTTCACAAGATGCACACGGAAATAACAAAAGAAAAAAAAAAAAAAAACAGCACAAAAACCTTTTAATTTCTTCTTCCTGCAGGGGGGGGGGGGGGGGGGGGG